ATATGCAATATCCTTTCCATCTGCTGCTTTCTACCCGTTCCTATACCAATCATGTATCCAGAACTGTATCCCCTTCATTCAAAAATCACTGTCAGCATAAATATACATGGGCCATGGGGAATTTTCATATTGCCTTAAAACCTGATAAATTGCATGGAGCTCGGTATGCTGAAACAATCCATTGTCTAAATGTCCCTGATAGCTCACCTTACCTGATCACTCTTGTTACAGTGTGTATGGTAACACCCAATGTTTCATGTTCTCTGTGTATATAAATCTCCCCACTGTATTTTCCACTGAATGCATCCGATGAAGTGAGCTGTAGCTCACGAAAGCTTATGCTCAAATAAATTTGTTAGTCTCTAAGGTGCCACAAGTCGTCCTTTTCTTTTTGCGGATACAGACTAACACGGCTGCTACTCTGATTCCTCTTCTAACTTAATGGCAGAGTATTTTACACATCTTTTCCCTTTTACTACCATTGCACTCCTGTCAGTAAGCCAGACGTGCTCTTCTTTACTCACGGGATCTAATTCTTCCAGTGTTGGGTGCCTCTACCAAGGCAATTCTTTGCTCCAGAGTGACCTCTGGACATTCATATTGGTTCCCTTTTTCAATTAGGGCATGTTCGCATGTCTGGCTTGGATACCGTTTCTGTGGTCACCCCTCTATTAACTAAAATAAGCGTCCATTGGGCCATTTGGGTGTTTGAGACTTTACCTCCCATCAATCTCCATGACAAAATGTACTTGAGAGGAGTGTGGGTGCTTTGGATAGTAATTGGGGTCGTTCCTGTGAGGGGCTCAAAAGATTGTACTGCTCTGACGGCTGCTAGACACTCTCATTCACAGGGGTCAAAATTTATTTCTGCTCCTTGTAATTTCCAGGATTCATATGCTACCGGCACTAGCTTTCCCTCTTAGTTGTTTTGTAATAGTGCGGCAGCCAAGGGCATGTTATTGGCTGTCAAACGAATAACAGAAGGCTGTGATTCATCAGGGAAACGCAGGGCTGGGGCTGTGAGAGTCTTAGGTTTTAGCAGGCTCAAAGCGGAGTCCTGCTCTTTTCCCCATTCCCATTTTGACTTTTTCTTTAGCAGTTTCCACAATGGGTGAGTTATTTCAGCATATTTATAAATGTGTGGTCTAAGAAAATTGAATCTTCCTAGCAGAACTCTTAAAGAGTGGGTGTCGGTAGGGGCCGGCATTTCTACCAGTGCCCTTACCTTCTTCTGATCTACTTGTCTCCCTTCTTGTTCAACGACTATGCCCAGATATGTAACCTGAGGTGGCATCAACTGAGCAAGCCTTGTCTGAGGATACTTTGAACCCTGTTTCCTGAATTAGTGCCAAAACTTTTTCCGTTAGTGTTTGAGTTTGCACCTCAGTTTCCCCAAATATCAAAATATCATCTACATATGAAAACACAAAAGACCTTTCTTGTGGACTCAACTGGTCTAGCATAGCCACAACGTGCCAATGGGCAATAGCCAGGCTGTTGTAATATCGCTGGGGCAACCGACAAAAGGTCCATTGTTGCTCCTTTATTGTAAAGACAAACCCATCTTGTGAGTCCAGGTGTAGGGGTATGGCAAAGAAACAGTTGGCCAGATCAATAACTGAGAAATATTTAGATGTGGCTAGCACTTTTTGCTTGACCTGTGTCATATCAGTCACAATAGGGACCATAGGAATGGTTCCCTTATTGATTCTTCCATAATCAATTGTTAGACGCCAGGATTAACCGTCTGCCTTTAGCAACGGCCACACGGGAGTTAAAGCGTGAATTCATTTTTCGAATGACCCCCTGTTCTAATTCTTGGATGGTTTGCACCAATCGCGCCTCTGCCTCTCTCGGGTAGGAGTTTTGTTTTTGGGGAGGCACACATTCCCCAACAATCTTAACACAAGCATTAATTTTACCACAATCTGTTTTCTTTTGAGTCCATACTGAGGGAAATTTCTAACTTCCAAAGAGTACCTCTAGGCATATTAATCACCCCATTGTTTTTGAACAGCCAGTCAGATCCCAGAATAATTTCATCAACCATATCAGGAGTTTGGATCAAATCCCCTAATGTCTCAAACCCTTGCACCGAAAAGGGGACTTGGGTCCATTCTCACCCGAGACTAGGTTTCCCTTGAAAGGATTTCAAGCTACCTGTTTTAATCTTTTTTTTCTGCTTTTGAGGTTGTTTTGATTAAGGATACAGCAACTCCTGTATCTGTTACAGCTAGTGTAGGGGTACATCCACCCTGCTGAACATAGGTGGATGTGGTCATCCCCTGGGATCCCAGGAGATTGTGCCTATGAACCTCCATCTCTGTGCCCCTACGGGGGGTGGGGGGTTTCCTCATTCAGAGGGCCCCTCTATTCTTGCTCCAGAAAAGGGAGTGGGTCCGGGAAGCATTACAGTGAGGAAGGAGGGGGTGGTGCACTAGGAGTTACGCTAGCCACCACTTTTGGTGGGGTTTTCAACCTCATGGCTTCCATGACTAGTTCTAGTGTAGGGGCCCTGTTCCACTGTTCTCAGTTTGCCCTGTCCGGCGAACCTCATTTTCCGTGTGCCCACCTCCTTCATTTGATTGCTGGGAGGAGGCTGTCTGATATTACCGCAGGTCTGGATATAACCGATCTCCTTGTCGCCCCCAGTTTCCCCATCCACGGGATTGTCCTCTAGTATATCCTCCTCAGGACCCCGTGATTCCCTTTGTGCCGCGCTCATTGGTGTATGTAACTGCTGGTTCTAATGCAGCTACCTAGGCAGCTCTTTCTTTTTTTTTATAGTGGGCTGTGGTCCCGAATGGGTAGTTATTTGTTGGACCAAGCCTCTTAGTTCCCCTAGGGTAGCTGGGCCACCCTCTTGCCAAATTCCAAGTCTCCCGGAGTAGTAGGGGGTTAGGGAAGCAGCAGTCTCTTAAGGATTGTACACTGAATGCCACTTTATCCAGTGCTGTGGCGTTGCCCAATGGTGTTAAGCCAGCCATTATCTGCATCAGACCCCATCGGGTTAAATAATTCTGGGGGCCTTCAAGGGGCTCTTGGGTTGTGGCTACGGCTTGTGCTATGAAATTGTGCCTGCCTATTTGCTCTCCAAAAAGTCCCATTACAGTCAATATGTTGCTGTTCTCGTCGACTCTAATCCTGTCTAGGACCCTCCGAATCTCTGAAGCCGTGCAGCCGCCCACCAAGCGGCAGACTTCAGTGGCGTTCAGCTCTTCCCTTATGGCGAGCAAAAACACATTAGAACAGCATCTGGAGAAACTGTCCTTTTTTATGGGTCCCAGACGATCAGCCATGGCTTTTAGGTCAGTGGCTGATACAGGGACAGTGGTGATAGTTGTATTTCCCCCTCCCTCTGCGGGGGCTGTGAGTGCAGTTCGTCGTATGGCTGCAATAGGGTTTTGTTTGAAAGGTTCCAATCCCTGGGGCTCATCCCATATATCTCCATTCCAAGCTTCACTAGGGTCCCATTCTCGCTCCCAGTCGGGGATCTCGCCGTATTGGGCTTGGTCCCATTCTCCTGCCAGCACAGCTGTTGCTTGGCAGGTGGCAAACCCGTTTTGTTTGGAGACATTTAATAATAGATTCTCAGCGGTTGTGATTGGCAGAGGCCCTACCTTGTTCTAACGTTAGTTTCTTTGCCATTTCCTGTAAAACCTGATTCTCTTTTTGTATTTTCTCTTTTTCCTCTAGCTGTTCCGCTAATCCCTTCTCTTTTATTTTAGCTTCTCTTAGGGTATCTTGGAGAATGTCTAACTGGCTTTATTTTCATTCTGAGTCAGAATGAAAACAAATTTAAAACCCCCCAAATTTCCTGTAATACAGAAAGTCCAGTTCCCGACCAGCTCAGTTAACAAGGTGGTGGCTCCTTGCATAATAGCAGTTCTCTGAGACGTTCTCCTTCAAGAACAGTGCTGTTAAAAGAGAGAGAGAGAGAGAGAGCGCGCTCTGGTGTCTCTACAGAGGCTTGGCTAGACAAACCGTCTGTGCACTAAGTATCCACGTTTGTGCCTGCTGCTGTACATGCAAAGTCCCATAATGAACTTTGATCTCCTCCACTTTGGAACAGGGGTAGGTGAGCAGGCAGGGTTCACTTGGACAATTAGTGCGCAGCAGGGCAGTGTGAGGTGGATTTACAACCCAGCTTGCCACGCACTAACTGTTCGTCAAGATGTGCCCTTAGTTCAGCAGCATTAAAGAAACCCTAGACGCGCGTGCTTCACCTGGACACAAGGCAACACAAAGTCGCACTTTCTGCGGGGAAGACTAAAAATAAGAAACGCCTGGAGGAGACTCTTTTCCTACCTGGAATATCTGGGCTGTGGCTGTCTGGAAGAGAGGCAGCAAGGTCTAGTGGATAGTGCACTGGACTGGGAGCCAGGAGTCCTGAGTTCTGTCTCCAGCTCTGTCACCAGACTGGCATGTGACCTTGGGCGAGTCACTTCCCTTCTCTGTTGCCGTTTCCTGTCTCAGCCTGTGTCTGTCTTACCTGTTTAGTTTGTAAGCTCTTCCTGGCAGGGAGTGTCTCTTCGGTGTATGTACCATGCTAGCACAACAGGGTCCTGATCTCTGTTGGAGCTTGTAGGTGGTAACAGGTAACCACTAAAACAGCTGCCCTTGTCCTGTGCCACAACACACTAACTCTCGCTGTCTCTCGGCAGGCCAGATTTTCAAACACGTTCAGGCCGCAGCAGCTCCCATTGCTCTCAGTGAAAGGCGCTGTTCAAAATCTGGCCCCTAGCATACTCCCACATAGAAGAATTGCAGCTAGTCCTTCCTAACTTGGCTACTGCTATCTCAGCTGGGCTGGCCCATGTACACAGTCCAGGTCTCCTTTCCCCCGGACCGCTCCTGGACACCTTGTTACTAGGTGTTAGGTGGCCCTTTCCATTTGGAAGTACCATACTAACAGCTTGCCCAAGTCCGTTTGCTTCTGCTCCCTGAACACTGTCATGTGGTGAACTTCCCACTCTAATTCCCTTGATTTCTCCCAGTAGCAGCTCCACGCTCATTATGTCTTAAAACTCCTGCACGAGACCAGGAGACATCTCATGCAGCTGCCAAACATCAACCATGTCTCCACCTGCTACAGCGAGGAGATCACTGTCTGCGGTAAGAGCGCTCAAAAGGAAACCCCCTCGAACATCCAGAACTAGCAGCCACACATGTGGATGGTGATTGTTCTTAAATGCAAAACAGTGTAGGCCAAATCCTGCTCTGTAATAGGTGTGTAACCCCAGTATGTGTATAACAGAGCAGGATCCGGTGCTGTTACTTGTGGTGGTGTAGCTTCAAAATGGTATCGCTGTGTCTCTGTATACAGTGGGAAATCAGGTTGGGTGTCAAAGCTCACCTTTACCTGCTGCATTCAAGTCAAATCAAACCTAACTGTCAGAGGGCCTGAGTCTCCATACTGACTAGGCTTTGCTCAGCATCGGGAGCTTTGTCAGCTGTATTCTTTCCCTATTTTAGATCAGTTCAGCCGCTGGAATATAAATAGAACTGCCCTGAGACTTGGCCATGCACATTGTGGTCAGTGAATCTAGTGATGCTAGTATTCAGGCTGCTATAGCTCTGCTGTAACAGGAGAAGTTGTGGAAGGGAAGGGGGCTTGGGTGGGGGTGCTCCACGAGAGCAGTTCGGGGGAATCCAAACCATAAAACCCAGTTAATCATTAAGGAGAATGAACAAGGCTTGTGATGCATCCTTAAGAATTAGCTGCTTTATTGAATAGACCCAGTTTTGCCATTAGTGTCTGTAGAAGTAACTAAAGGCAGAGCGTCTTTAGTTAGTGTAACTGGGCACAGGAATTGCCCATGGGAGACTTGTGTATGTGGATGGGAGTGCAATGCATGGTAAGTAGCAGCAAACAGTAATAGATGCTTCTGTGGGACTAGGTGGAGATTTTATTTTTTTAATGATTCGACCTCTTTTGGACCCTTTTTTCTGACGACAACATCTAGTGGGTCCGGGGACACGGAAAGCAGCTTTGATTTATGGAAAGCGATTTAATGGCCGTCCCTTTTGTTAAGCGACAGCATGAACAGCTTTGCTTTGTTAAATGTCAGGGAGGAGAAAAGCATGCCCTGAAATGAATGTCTTTTCATGTGTTAGGAGACTTGCATGGCCGGCTGGATGACTTGTTTCTGATATTTTACAAGGTATGTACTGTGCTTTGCTAAGAGTCACACTGGCCCATCCTGCGGCCTTTACTCATGGGAGCAGTCCCACCGATTGCAGTGGGGAGTATTCTCCAGCATCAAGCTCTCAAAGCTGCCTTCTCACGTTCAGCTCAGTTGGTTTGGAAATGGCTTCCCTAAACAAAAGCTTATCCCTGGTTGTTGTTTAAATCTGTTATTACAGCTATTGTTCTAGTTGTACATTTTTTCCAAGGGTTAATAGTCAATTTTTTAAAGCTAGAAGACAACACCTGACTGTTTTCTTACCACTTGTTTGTATCCCTACATGTAAAGTGATAGGAGGCTGCAGAGCAGATACTGGCCAAGACGCTCAGGTGGGGTAAATGGTTGTAGAAGTCAATGGAACTGCAGCCATTTGGATCACCAGAGGAGTCAGCCAATTGAATTACCAGCTTCCTTCTGCCTAATCCTTTACAGTACAGTTAGCATTATACTGGGTGAAATCCTGGCCTTAGAAAAGTCAAGGGGAGTTTTGTCATTAACATCAGTGGGGCAGGAATTTCATCATAGGGCACAATGACTAGATGATAGTACTGATTCTTTTTAGTTGCTGACGTGTATGATAAAAAGAACAGGAGGACTTGTGGCACCTTAGAGAATAACAAATTTATTTGAGCATAAGCTTTCGTGAGCTACAGCTCACTGCTCACGAAAGCTCATGCTCAAATAAATTGGTTAGTCTCTAAGGTGCCACAAGTACTCCTTCTCTTTTTGCGAATACAGACTAACACGGCTGCTACTCTGAAACCTGTGTATGATAAAGATGCTGTGAATCAGAGGAGCTGGAACACGGATATATGTATGGGTGGCAGTGTGGAGGACGCAGGGAGGGCGGGATTTGCCGTCTGTCCCCTTCTCGCCCTGTGGCATTTGACTGTATTTCTTGTTTGTGTAGAATGGCCTTCCGTCCCCGGAGAAGTCCTATGTGTTCAACGGGGACTTTGTGGACCGAGGCAAACAGTCCATTGAGATCTTGATCATTCTCTTTGCCTTTCTCTTGGTGTACCCGAAGGAGGTTCATCTGAACCGCGGAAACCACGAGGACCACATGGTCAACTTACGGTATGGGCGTGGACTGCGGCGGGGTATTGGAGTGCACTGTGCTTGTTACTAAATGGCTACTCAAAATCGTCTCTTCTGTTTCCATCTAGCTATGGTTTCACGAAGGAGGTCATGCAAAAATACAAGGTAGATTTGCTTTGAAATCTCACACGTTCTTTTCTGTGTCTGGCACACACTTCCTGGTGCTTCACCTCCTCCTTCCTGCTCTTGTCTTTCTAGGTGCATGGGAAGAAAATTCTCAAGATGCTCCAGAATGTCTTTTGCTGGCTGCCACTGGCCACCTTAATCGATCAGAAAGTCCTGATTCTACACGGCGGGGTGTCTGACGTGACTGACCTGGTGCTGCTGGCCAAAATCCCAAGGCACAAGGTACATCTTCTTTGTGGACTCCTTAAAATACAAAGGCACCGCTGGTTTGTGATTGTGAGAGCTTGTTTATCTCTGGTATCCTGGCCAGAGAGAATAAAAACCCAGAGAATGGCTTTGTAGTGGAAGCATGTTTAGATCCCAGCTTGAAAAGGACTGATTTGACTTAACTGAGTGTGTGCACTAGATGTAAAGGGGAGGAGAATAGAATAGCTTCTGGGTTTCTTTTCAGTGGGAAGAATGTAGTTTCGGTCCTGCGTTGTGATGGATTTTGATGTAGTTAAATGGATTGGCTGAGGCAGACTCTGTGATCCAAAGGGAGTCAGTAATAAGGGTTAGGACTCTGTCCCCTTGCTCATGGATTGTTTCCCTCGGTAGCACTGGTCCCCTTGCTCTGCACCCCCTGGCTTGTAATTCCTTTTTCAACACTGGGCTTGAGGATGGTCTGGTGTGGGTAAGGCACTACAGGGTGACTCAGGAAATGGGGGTTCTAGTCCTGGCTCTGCCCTAGGCAGATTCTGGAGTGACCTTACGCGGGTTACTTTCTCTCTGTGTGCCATGCTTCACCGCACTTCCCTACTGTGCAGGGGTTTGGGGAGGGCACATTTTCTTCTGAGGGATCCTGCTGTGATAACACCCACAAGATCTCTCCCTATAACCCGACGCCCAGCCAACCCACTCTCAGCTGCTGAAACTCTCTGTAAGCTCCCTTGTAGCTTTCCACATCCCCTCCAGGAATGACAGGAATCCCTGATCCCCCGCCTCCTTTAATCACTAAACTCTCCTCTTACCTTCCTAAAATCAAGTATCTTTTGCTTGTCCTGCTGCCAGCCCTTTCCACTTTCAGCTAGTTCGATTTCTGTCCGGGTACTGACATGGATCTCTTGATCATAGGATCTTAGTACCTCATAAGCATGTAAGGATTTTATCATCACATCACCCCTGTTCAACAGTGAGGCACTGCCCTCATTTTACAGATGGGGAAACTGAGGCACAGGGGGGTGGGGTGACTTGCCCAAGGTCACCCAGCAGGCAGTGGCAAAGCTGGGAATAGAATCCTGTCTCCACTAGACCATCCTTCCCAGCAGCACTAGCTTGGTTACATCCTACTTTGCACAGGACTCCACAATAGCTAGGGCCAGACCAGTAAGAGAGTATGATTAATCCCAATTTGACAGAGGGGGAAACTGAGGCCAGGAGTGCTGCATGACTTGGCCAAAACCACAAAGGTGGTGTTTGTGTTGGAGCCAAGGTCAGAACTTGGGAGCTCCTGGCCCCCAGTCTGGTGCCCAGACCCACCCCTCTCTCTCTCTTTTCTTTCAGTTTGTTTCTGTGTTAAGGGGCAAAAAGAGAAAAGAGAAGAGTAGACACATGGACTCCAAAGCGATAAATGGCGAGAGCCCTGTGGGCGTTGATCCTCCGAGGAGCAGTTCGTTCCCTGGCTCATGCCTCCAGTCTGAGCTAGCTAGCGCTGCGAGCTCGGCCAGCAGGGCGGAGCTCTCCCAGTGGGTCCGGCAGATGGTCCAAGAGGAGCTGGAGAAGTGCCGCAAGCAGGTGGGGTTCGATGAGACTCCAGGGGACAAGGAGCTCACCTGTGTCAGCTCCGTCACCATGACCGAGTCAGAGCTGGAGTCCTGTGAAACAAGCGAGTCTAGCCAAGAAGAGTGGAAGCAGGTGAGTTCAACCTTGTTTCATTTGTCTTAGAGAAGACCGCACTAAGACTAATGTAACTTTTGAGGGAAATTAAAGTCCTGGGAACTCTTCTTCTCCCTTTAATACATTGTCGCTAGTTTATTTGTCTCTTTGGGGCAGAGACCATCTTCTTGATCTGTGTATGTACAGTGCCTGGCACAGTGGAGTTCTGGTTCATCATGGGCTCCTAGGTGTTATGGCTATTATAATAATAATACAGAGCATGGTTGTGTGTTGCCGCACCATGGTATTGGAAATATCTCAGTATTCCCCAGTGCTTAGAGGAAATGATACCTGTGGAATCTCAGATGCTCTGGTGTGTGCAGTGTTGGTAAATGTTGGCATTGCAGCAGCAACCACTGTACAGAGTCGTCATGTATGTTTGATCTCTCAGATTGTAGATATATTGTGGAGTGACCCTATGCCTCAGGAGGGCTGTAAAATGAATACGGTGCGAGGAGGCGGCTGCTACTTTGGGCCTGATGTGACAGAGAAGATTCTCCAGAAGCACAGTCTGCAGTTCCTGATCCGCTCTCATGAGTGCAAACAGGAAGGCTATGAGTTCTGCCACAATCGAAAGGTAGCTGGATAGGCCAATGCTAATGGGTCAGAGTTCAGAGTATTGGAGTGCATTTCCGTACTATCACTTTGGGCTTCTTTTGAGTTTTGCTTTAACTCTGAATTTCTTGGAGTCTAATGTTGATAGCTGTTGTTGATAACTACTGGACAAAATGCCTGTCTGGTTTTTACCCTGAAGTTACTGATACGTGCTTTCCACCTTAAGTCACTTTCTGGCCTGGGAATCTTGAACTAAATTACACTCCAGATGGATCTGACCTGCAGACGCTGCCCCTGCACACAGACCAAGCATTGAAAGGTGCTGTACTTAGCAAAATGGAATCCTATCTCCTTCGTTGCATAATTACCCCTTGGGCTTCCAAACAGATGTTCTGTTCAAAACTGCTTGCAATGATGCCAGGTTTGAAAACCGCAACTGTGTTTAACGAGCAGACACAGGACCAAACTCTGCTCTGAGATACACTAGTGTAAATCCAGAGTGACTTCACTGACTTCAGCAGAGTTAGTCTGGATTCATAGATGTAGGAGAGGAGAATGTTGCCAAGAGAATTCAGTAAAATGACGAAAGTCTGGGGATGGTGTCCAGTGACTTTAGCCATGCACACAGAGAACATGTATCGTTTTCATTCTTCCCTTCCCAAACATTCTCCTAGAATTTCCTTTCCCCAAACAAGTTATACTCCTTGATCCGAGCTCCGATTGGTAAATGTGGATTATCTGTGTGTATTGTAAATGACTGTCCTTTTTTTTCATTTAGGTACTGACCATATTTTCCGCTTCAAACTATTACGAGATTGGCAGTAACAGAGGAGCCTATGTGAAACTGGGGCCGGACCTGATCCCTCATTTTGTGCAGTATCAAGCTAACAAGACAGCCCATACATTAACTATGAGACAAAGGCAAGACTTTCTAGTTTAGTGTTAGAAATGGCACAAAAATACAAGGCTGTTATAGTGTTAGCCATGCTATTAAGAGATGCACTTTGGATCATCAAATTCCGCCTTAGGATTAAACCAGAATTGAGATTGATTAATCCAAAACCCCAGATATGAACATTCCTGACGTTTTGAGAAAGTTTGGATCTTGATTAATCAAGACTGGGTGTCTTTCTAAAAGATGTGCTTTAATACAAACAGAAGTTATGTGCTTGGTACAGGAATTACTGGGTGAGGTTCTATGTGTTATGCAGAAGATGATCATAAACTCTTAATCTTTGGTCCATTTCCAGTCTTACACTTTATATTGAAAAGGGAACTCTTGCCATTTACAAACTATCTAGAAGTTTGACTCGATCACTTCAGAAGCTGATCATCCAGCATGTTATAGGTGGCTGATCTCATCTGAACAACCGAAACAAATGCGGACAAACCAAACCTTTGTCGGTGAATTAGGAATAACACGTGTGTCTATTCCTGGGACCAAGCGAGGCTTCTGAACCAATTTTAGCAGGGTCCTGAACTAGTTATGTGGGATGGTGGTGGGGCGTTTTGTAGCACTGGTCATAGTGCCGTGATTCGTGTTGGGATGAGTTACACCAAAGCTACGTGGCAGGGTAACTTGTGTAAGCTGGTGTTGCAGTTTGGTTTTAACTTGCCTGCAACAAATGCTCTACACTCATGTGAGACAAGGGTTTGTCCAGGGCATGCGTGAATGGTCCGGCAGGGGCAGATGCTCTTTATCTCACTCTCAAGCGATGAGCTTTTTTAAAATGTCTGGCTCTCTTCTGCTTCTTCTAGGATCAGCAGAGTGGAGGAGTCAGCCTTTCGCGCGCTCAGGGAAAAGCTCTTTGCTCACACATCAGACCTCATCTGTGCATTTAAGAGCTACGACCAGGATGGAACTGGTAAGACTAAGCAAAGAAAGAGCTTCCTGTGCACTGGTAGGCAGTGGACAGGGCACCAGGCGGGTTTCCCTGGTGTAATGGAGCAGACTGTCTATGGCAGCTGTACAGCACTGGTTGGCAATGGGCTCAAAGGGGCATAAAGCAAGAGTGGGAAAACTTGGGCCTTGGTGTCCAGGTTGCTGCTGCCTGTGACCTTTGGAAACTTTGCTCTTAGGACAGGGAAAGATACCATATCTCTGCCTGTAGTGACATCCTCTCAGCCCCAGATCAGCTGATCTAGCTGCACCTTGACTGGAGGAATGTCACTCCAGTGCAGAGCTGTAGGAGTGAAAATAAGGCTTGTTGAGGTCCCATGTAGTCCGTGGACGATATAACCAACAGGATTACTAAATAAGCAATGCCGTTCTTCAGCCTCCGGTTCCCAAGGTGCTTTCACGAGTGTCCCTTTCAAACAGGAACCATCACGCTGAGCGACTGGGCAACTGCAGTAGAGTCAGTCTTGCATTTCGGACTGCCCTGGCGGATGCTGAGGCCGCAGCTGGTGCGCGGCACTGCAGGGGGCCTGCTGGAGTACAGATCCTGGCTGGATGACTTAGCTGTGGAACAACGGAGCAAAGAGGTAACTAACAGTGCAGCCATTCCTCAAAGCACGGTAGAAGGCTTGGACAATGAAGCCCACTTGACCACCAAACTGACAGGGCCTGCAGATCCCATGCTGATGAGTGCATGAATATGCTAGGAAAGCCTAGGAGAAATTCTTCCTGTAGGCCCTCATCCAAACCCCACTGAAATCGATGGGAAGATGCCCACTGAGTGTTCAGTAGGCATTAGATCAGGCCAATGAGCATTTTATTCAAGTAGTTAATAATTATATATTTATTTCTATTCCTTAAACACCAGCAAGTTAATCCCTTAATCCTCACAACAGTCCTGTGAGGTAGGTAGGGACCAAACCTTTTTGTTCAGGGTAGGAGCGGATTTGTGTTCCTTTTATTAGCTTTTTTTTTTTTTTTGGTTAGGGTTCTTTTCATGCCACAGGAAGCCACTTAGGGGGCCAAAAATTAGAAAAGAAAAACAACACTAGAACTGGGGCCCCAACTGGCATATTTAGATCCAGATTTGGAATAAGCCATAAAATTAGAGGGGTGAAAACCTAGCCCCTTGCGAAATGCAGGCCTGGATCCCGGTTTGAATTTAGAGTTGGTGAAGTTCAGGGCTTTTCAGATCCCAGTTGTAGTGATGTGGCTCTGAGCCATTGTGTTTACCTGTTGCTGGATTTAGGAATGGCTCACCTCCCATTACTAAGATCGTAACTGTAGTGTAATCAGATATCTCAACGCAAACCCACTTGCACCTTACAATACTGTTAAGTGCTTGTAGATGGGGGTCACACTGGGATGCAGAATCATACCCAGGAGAATCAAAATGTCAAGACAACTCCAAAAGATTTAGATCTGTCTACAGTTAAAGTATTTAGTAAGGGTTTCTAGATGTTTCAGTTTGCAGCACAAGGTAATGTGAAAGGGCGATTCTTTTCGGGTGTAGATGAATTGCTTTTATTTATGCAATACAACTCGAATCACTATTCAAAAGCCTGAAATCCCAGCCTATGCTAGGACTGGGTAGTAAGTTTTATCATAAAAGGAAACGTGTTATATCTTCCAGCACATACAGTCAAGCTTGCTAGAAGCCATTTATCGAAACAGATCCAACCTGGAGACCATCTTCAGGATCATAGATAGCGATCATTCAGGTAAGGATGTGTTTTCTTCCCTCCTGCCTCTCTATTTTGTTCCATCTCACTTTTGGGCTCACACTCATTGTATGTTAAACCTCAGAAACTGGAGGCAGTTTGATCAATGGTTAGAACAAGGTCCTTGGGAACCACAATGGCCCTGTGGTTCAGCTGAGGATGGGTCTAGTTCACTCTAACTGTGGATGAATCACTTCTTTGTGCTGTGAAAATGGACTCATGTAGGACCTCAGTGCAAAAGTGATATTACCTCTGAGGATGACTCCGTAGTTAAGGTACCCTGTTGGGACCCAGGAGATCTGGGTTTTGTTCCCAGTTGTGCTACAGCTACCTTCTGTAATGGCAAATTACTTATGCACCATTAAAGACAACGGTAGTTTTGTCAATGATTTCCAGGAGTGTAGGATCGAGACCTTAAACCAGTCTGTGCATCAGTTTCCCATCTGTAAAATGGGGTTACTACCTGACAGGATCTTCTGAAACTTAATTCAGTAAATGATTGTAATACACTGAGAGCATCAGATGAAAAATGTGGTAGGCATGTAGAGTAATATGAAGTTATCCTGGATAAGTTCATTAGAAAAGAATAAGGTATGTGTAACTGTTTGAGGTTACATTTGATCTATCCCATTAGTTAATCCCTTGGGCGGAGTGGCCAGCTAGCCAGCATCAACAAAAATGGGTGAAGATTACCCTGCAGTATCAATCCCATTATCCCCAACCCCCCAGTAAACAGCCATTTTTTATGCTGTTAAAAAATTATCTGTAAGAGGGCACTGTATCTTCTCCCCTCACTCCTGGTGCATCTCAGCTGTTTAGAACTACCTTCCTGCCACAATGCATTAAACCTTTGCTTCATTTTTGCCTGTCATCTCTGCATTAGTAGTTATAACAGTACTTTAATACATGTTTAGAAAGTGCTGGAAAAGAGTAATTTAGCCTCTACACTCAATGGAGATATGGAGTATTGTCACTAGTTTATACGTGGGAAAATGAGGCATATGCAGTAAATGATTTCAACGTCATGGAGTGAGGAACATGGCTTTCCTGACTGCTGCCAGTTCTGTGTAGGACTGCACCATTGCCTACCCCCGTGTGCTGCTGAAGGGGCAGGCTCAGAGGAGGGCTGCATGGCCTCTTGTACACATTTGAGGGCAGGACTGTCACTAAACTGAATTGCCAGTTTCTTCCCTGCAGGGCTTATTTCATTTGAGGAATTCCACCAGACCTGGAAGCTGTTCAGCTCCCCTATGAACATGGAGCTCACAGCTGATGGCATCAGTGACCTGGCCCGCAGCCTAGATTTCAACAAGGATGGAAACATAGACTTCAACGAGTTCCTAGAGGCCTTCCGCCTCATTGAACACACTCATGGTGATGATAAAGCGCCCCACCCAGCAGAGATGGCTGTTAGCTAGTAGGGCAGGCTGCAATGCCTTTGGATGATCTCCTAAGCCGCAGCACAAACAAAGGCCCTGCCAGCAGCTATGACAACTTGTGGGGAAGTAGAACCGAGTTACATTTTAGACCTCTCAGTGTTGTTAGGAGTTACGGCCCGTGTTCCATTTTTTGGTATGAGAATTGGCCAAATAAGTAGTAATTTAAAAGGAAATGGAGGGAAGGTGTTGCTCAAGTAGATATTTATTCTAACACTCTGCAAGGGTATAGTGTAGCCTGTTACCCCCATTTACTGACATTTCTGTAAACTATTACAGGATCATTAACAATGTTTGTGAAGTGGCATTATTAGGAACATCTGCACTAGCTGAAGTGTTAAGTACAAACCTAAAAACAGGGTGCAGGAATTTTGTTCTTTAAATAGACTTAAAGCCCAGAAGCAACCACTGATGATGAGCTAGAGTCTGACTTGTATAAAGTCAGGCCATCGTGTGAAGTTCTCTCTCTCTTTTTTTAAATCCAGTCTTGCTTTAAAGACTTCAAGTGATGAAGAATCTGCCACATCCCTAGGGTAAGACACTCCAGTTGTTAATCACCTTGCTAAAATGTGCTTTAGCTAGTGGATCTCTTTCTCCTAGACAGACTTTTACAAGAGGGGTCGGCAACCTTTCAGAAGTGGTGTGCTGAGTCTTCATTTATTCACTCTAATTTAAGGTTTTGCATGCCAGTAATACATTAACGTTTATAATATATAACTAAACTATTGTTGTATGTAAAGTAAATAAGGGGTTTAAAATGTTTAAGAATGGGCAGTGTGAGTGCCACTGAATATCAGCTCCCGTGCTGCCTTTGGCACATGGGCTAGTGGCTGCCTACCCCTGAGATAGATACTTAAGAGCTGCTATACAGGTTCAGGTAATTGACCCATCGCCACTAACTAGTGCTGCAGAGGAAAGTGAAAACTTTCACATAACAGCGAAAACGTTTGAACAATACACTGGAAGTACTGTTAGCTCATACAGTTGGAACAAATCAAGGGCTAGATTCACCCAAGCTTCACAAAATGATGTACCTCACTAGGATTTGCTGAATAATGGAGGCAATATTTGACCCTGAATTTGCAGAGAGTAATGGTATTTACCAAGGACTTTTCACCTTGTTTAGGAACCCCAGACAGACATCGGTCAGGTTTGAGTCATATTTCTTATTATAAAAAAATATTCCAAAATGCTGTATCTAGAGTAATGCTAGTATAATGCAGGGGAAGAAATCAGGCAAACTTAATTTTTTTACAGTATGATGCTTGGTAGATTTCTTTCGTAGCACAAGTCTGCTGTATTTCAGGATTTGTTAGTCACAAGTGCCTTTGACAAATCTCCAAGTAGCTGTCTTTCCAAAGAATGAACAATGTAATTATGCCTTTTTAGAAATAAAAAGGCAACATGATAAAGGACACAGTTTAAAGCAGACATTTTATTCTATTTCCTGAATAAGCAAAATGATATAAAAATATAGCCTTGCAGTCCAAAAAAGTCACAATACACAAACACTAAATCCACAACTTTCCCCAGCAGATAAATGAATAATATTAAACATGTTTACAGGGTGATGTACAAGTTTGCAACAGCCTAGTTGTTTTTGTATGCATAATTTTGTGATGTAGATTCCTTTCATGTTCATGAAAACTTGAAAGACAAGATCTCCTTAGCATTGCATGGAAGAACAATGCTGTTGTAAAAATGTACAATAGTACATAACTTTTGTAGTAGAACAGTATCTGAACAGATTCAGTTTCTTTTAAGAAAGAATATACAGCTTTATAAGTCTAAACCTTCCAAAGGTCATCAAGTTTGAAAAGCATGGAAGAGGCTTTGCTAGTCCAAAAGATTACAGCCAATACCACATTTATGAAAATCCTATAGGAAGATATGCATTTTTTTTAAACCTAGTCAGTTTCAGCCTTTGAAAGTGAACCCTGAAACAAGATAATGCATTTGATACATCCCTAACAATAGCTTATGACAAGTCAACTGAAGATTCCTCCTCTGATAGGGATGCTCTCATTCAATCCATGTTCTGTTAGTTTTAGATCTTCCAGGTCATCTTTTATTATGCTAATCAAATGACTCAGGCCTTCTTGTTGCTGCTTCAAATGCTAGAATAATTAAAGAAAGAATGTAAGAAACACTTCAGGTGTAGCATTTATCACACAAAACTATAGCTCAGTCCTTGATGGTTAAAAGATCAGAACCTCTCTAAACTAACTAAGTTACTGTAACAGCTATAAGTTTACTTTTTAAAAGCGAAACTACACGACTTGTACAAAACAGAATACATTTTTACCACTGTCATGCCTGAAGGCCTCTGAGTGCCTTACCAAAAAACACTCAACTATTTAAATTTGGAGTACCTGTGGCACCTTTGAGCATAAGCTTTCATGGGCTAAAACCCATTTCAGCGAAAGCTTATGTTCAAATAAATTTGTTAGGCTCTGAGGCGCCACAAGTCCTCTTTGTTGTTTTTGCTGATACAGACTAAACACGGCTGCCACTCTGAAACCTACACTCTGAGTTCACTCAAGATTAGAGCTGGTTGGAAAAATGCAGATTCAATTAAACTTTTGCCAACACATAGCGAGTTCCAGGGTTGACAGCACTGCTGCAGAGAGCGTGGAAGACCCAGCCTAATCATGCAGAACACCCACAGCTCCCCCCTGGCTCTCTGGTGGACCAGGGAGTCTGAAGTCTTAGGACTGGTTTTCCAAAATCTGCACTTCTGGGTAGCCCTGCATGAGGACTGCTTGGGGTACCACAGGAAAACAACTTCACTGCACAGGATTACGAAGAACAGTATTTGCTTGATGCTGTTGCTGAATTTCCTCTAGACTTGAGAGGCATGCTGAAACTTCAATTCCAACACCACTGTTTTCCATCTTTTCATAAGCTGTGCACCCTCCACTCAAGCAGGCTGTTGTAGAATTCTGCATGCATTTCTCCACAAGGAATACTTACTTGCTTGATTTCTTGTAGGAGATCTGCATCAATGTAGTACCTTTCTTCTGCCCTAACTGCTCCAAAATGATTTTGCATCCTGATCTGAGACATCAGTTCATTTAGTCGACCCTAAAAATAGATGGGAATCACATGTATTAGGATAGAAAAGCAGTTTCCCCCTGACATCCATAGTCCTGAGAGAAAAATGTACCATCAGCGTGAAGGTTTTGGCTCAGCTTCTTGCATAGTTTTTTTTTTTTTTTTTTGAATTAAAAAAAGAAGAGGGGTGGGGGATACAATACAGTAAACAAACAGTCTGATACTGTTCATAAAAATTGCTTCAGTACTTGCTGTGTAGTTTTTGACCTTGTAAGGGGTTTTTTCAAGATTGGGTTTAGGACTTGCAAGTCTGCTGACTCAAATCAACAGGGAAAATGTCAATATTCTTCCTATGAAAGAAAACATTAACTACAAATGGTTTTAACAAAGCTTTGGGGAGATCATTTTACAGCTTTATTGTAAGTACACCAAGAGCCCTTTTCTGTTGCAAGAGCTTATATATAATTCACTCACCTTGAACTGAGTAGGTGCATTGAGTTCACATTGAATGGTGTCTAACTGTACACGAAGTTGTTCCTCATCAGCCTGAATGGCATAGCCACTTTTCCTTTGAATCTCTTGTTTAATTAACACCTGCAAAAGGAACCACTGAAGTTATGACCTTTGGAATGACTTGTTTTATGTGCATAAACTCCAAATGTCAAGATTCTCCTGCAGATGTCTCAGACAGAAGAGTGGCGGGTCTAAAGGCTGCCTTGTATGTTGTATGCAGTGTTGTCACTCCCATGCTATCAGAGAGACAAGGTGGGTGAAGTAATATCTTCTAGTGGACTAACAGAAGTCCAAAGATATTACCTCACCTACCTTGTGTCACTTGTATGCTGTGTCTCAATTTATATCCTATAGTAAAATGGATTTACCATTTCTAGTAAAATACAAATCAGAGTCACAATGTTCTACCTGTACATTTGTTTCTGGGGTTTAAAACCACAGTCGTCTACTTCACTTGTGGCACGTTAGATACAGGGGAAATGTTTTCCACGAGGTCTCCCACCCCACACTCCCATGTACATCTATTCCACTTTCCCCACTCAGGTTGTCTTCTACTCTGCTGGCCCACAGATCTGAAATACATCCACCAGACAAAATTCTCTCTCATCTTCTTCAAACGCTCCTTCCTTCCACTCAATCCTTACACTTCCCCCTCTTGCCTTGTATTTGTCTTTAGAGCAAAAAATGTTTAAGATAGATCTTCCAGATCTATCTTAAAGCAAGTTACAGGTATTACAGAAAATTAATTTGTCCATTTTACTCAAATGGAGATTAGGGATTTCTTACAGAAGGAAGTTTAGAACTGCCATATAGCTAACCAACCACACGAACAAGAGAATAATAAATCCAATCAACCAGCAAGCCACTATCACCGTAACCATATTAACTGGGATTGTAAAAAAAAATTGCCATTTCAGATTAATTTGTGCTTCTATCTGCACAGTGTACACTCAGTTTCATGAGCCTACTAGGGAAAGGAGTTTATAAAGAGAGTCATGAATTGGTAGGAGTTGGGGCAGGTACAGGATCTGAAACTACTTAAAATTGGATTTAAAAACAACACAACCTGACTCGTTCCAATAGGACAACTTTCCCACAAAGTTAGGCAGCTTTTCTGGTAAGTCTCTGATCTTGACTATAACAGGGTTTAAAAGAGAACTGGATAAATTCATGGAGGTCAAGTCCACTAATGACTATAAGCCAGGATGGGTAAGGAATGGTGTCCCTAGCCTATGTTTGTCAGAGGGTGGAGATGGATGGCAGGAGAGTGATCACTTGATCATTACCTGTTAGGTTCACTCCCTCTGGGGCACCTGGCATTGGCCACTGTCAATAGACAGGATACTGGGCTGGATGGACCTTTGGTCTGACCCAGTAGGGCCATTCTTATGTTCATGAGAGGGAGACTTGCACACAAATTGAAAAAGAAACAGGAATGGGAAATAGAGCTGTTAAAAAAAAAAAAAAAAGTCCACTCTGTTGCCAGTGGAACATGCATCAGATTACTCACTGCGTCCAAGTGTTACCTGTAAGGTTCTATGAGAAAGGTCCATTAGTTTTCTCTTGTACTGTGCTATTTTTGCCATAGTTGTGGTCTGATTTTTCTGCAGCTCACTAATATCTTCTGATATTATCTGAAAGAAAAAAACATGGTTGCAGCTGGTGGCCATCCAAAAATTTAATTTAATCTTTTTATAAAAAAAACAAAAAAAGATTTTCCTGCTTGTAAGCATGTACTAGCAGCAGCAGCATTCGTTTCCCCTGCCATCAGAGTTTCAAAACAATGATCAGTCCTAAAGGAAAAGGGGCCATATTTGAAAACACCTGCAGAGAGAATCAGATGAGTAGTTCATAATGTAAGAATGCCGTCATACCCCCTTATTTAATAAGTGGGTCTATTGCAGCCCATCTCTGCCCTTACCATCATTCTGTTTTGTATGTAATTAACTGAAAGTTTTAAATATTTATCCTGAGCAGGAGAGCAGCTGAGGGGGCTTTATTCTGTCAGTGTCCTTACCCCCTTCCCACTCATGTCCCTTCAAAAAGTGAAAGTATCTGTTCTAGTCATATCCATCACTAGGGGATCGGTGCCTAATATACGCTCCCCAAACTGAGGCAGTGTCAGGTACTACGGCTTGAATTTTCAAGCACCCCACTCATTGGAAGTCAGGTCAAATGGGGTGCCTAATTTGGAGACTTTTTTGAAAATGCCTGAACTAAAAGAGTAGATTTAGACTGTCTTAGCCAAAAAGCTGATAATTCTCCTCTTGCAAGTGAGCAGATGAGAGAGAAGATATTCATACAAACCAGAGAACAGCTATTGCATAAGCCTTCCGCTCCAAGGTAGCATGGTGTGAAATCTCTGTTAATCATATACAAAAGTCTTAACAGCTTCCATAAGGGTAGTCTTAACTGAAGCTGAAACAGGAACTGCAAGTCACCTACTCAAAAGACATTACTCTAAATTCATAAATGCTCATAACTGCACAGATACAAGTGTCTATGGGTTTGTCTACCCTGGAATAAAAGATGCAGGACATGGCTGCAGCTGGCCCAGGTCAGCTGACTGACTCCAGACTCAGGCTGCAGGGCTAAAAATTGCTGTGTAGACATTCAGGCTCAGGTTGGAGTCTGGGACCCTCCCTCCTTGTGGGGTCCCAAAGCTCAAACCCAAACATCTAAAACAGCAATTTTACAGCTCTACAGTCCATGAGCTGGAGTCAGCTGACCCAGGCCAGCCATGGGTGTATTGCTCAGTGTTAATACTT